GATTTATCCTATTCCATTAAACGAGTCTCCTGTAGATAAGCAATATCTGCCCTTGATGATTTCAAATATGCTAAGATTACATTTTGTTTCTTTGATTCTCGCAACCCTTTTACATTAAGACTAACTTCATTCATTAATTTTATTTTGGCCCACTTATTAATATTCTCCCAATACTAATTCATTTTATGACCTGTACCATTTTAAAAATATCTAATAATAAACTTTTCTATGTTTAAATATTTAACATATTTACTAGTATTGCTCACAGATGTGGAACCTCCATAAAGACTCAATTCAGCATTCAAATACCATTCTATTACATATATGTGCATAGGATTTACACTTAAAAGAAAAAAAGAAAAGCGTGATTAGGTGCAAAAAAATAAACAAGGGAACAAGCAAATAACATTATTAAAGAGATTTAAAAGGATCCTAAAAAATAGAAAAAAATTGCAGAACTTGATGACTTTTCAAAGGGGATGGCATGGTGGTTTCATCTGTCTTCTTACAATGAAAATTACAAAACAGTTTCAAATATTACTAGTTGAAGGAAATGTTCTATGTGTTAAAAATAGATGATAGAGTTGGTAGTAAGCCCAGACTTTCTATCTTGAAATTAACCAAAACAGAAAAGAGTACAGAAAAAAAAATAAAATGCAGGCACAGACGCTTTTATAATAAGGCTTTTACAGCAGAGCTGTAAGCAAACAAACTTCTCCTGCAGTAGATTCCATGGAGTGAAACAGAATCAGGCTTGTCCATCAGCAGATTTTAAAGATAGAATAAAGACCTCTCTTTTCAAAGGATTATCGAATCTGTGAATCTGATCTTGATGATTAATGAAGAATGTAGATGGGAAATGCATGAAATATTGAAGTTGTATTGATCTGGCAAGATTTCGAGCTTTTGTAAACATCCTTTTCTTTTTTGAAACTTCTTTAGTAAAATCAGGATAAATTGATATCTTGCTTTGACTAGAACCCCACTTCAAAGGAGACTTTACTGATTCCTGGCGAAATATACGTAAAATCTCATCTCTTGTGGTAACATGGAGGAATTGCCCAATAATAATATTGGAATTAGTTCCAGTCTTCTTTCTTGTTAAAGTAATTTTAATCACATGATCAATCTCGGCTGGAAAATCCATTCCCAAAGGAAGGAGCTTTCTGAAAAAATCCTCCATAAATTCAGCCAGGTTTGATTGACTTGGAGGGTTTTCAA